ATATATATATATATATATATATATATAGAGAGAGAGAGAGAGAGAGAGAGAGAGAGAGAGAGAGATCACATACTTTAACTATCCAAAATAAAAACTATATACTAATTATAAGTCAATTATCGTAGATTGACGAGATTGATATCTGTAATGAAATCGTCGAGTGATACGTTTATCAAATTCGCTTGATGCTTTTATTGCACATTTTGAATTTCTACTATGAAACGTGATGTACTTAATTATGTAAATTTTGGCATTTGCATATTAGAACGAAACGATAAATATTACCACTATTCGTTATTTATTAATGATAATATTGTAATATATATTTTATGTAAAATATTGTGGATAACATTAACATATAGGCATTCTTTAATGATCGAATCGTTGTTACTTTTTTTTAATCACTATGAAAACGATTTTTTAAATCCTCGATTTTTTCCTGAGTGTAATCTTTTACAATAGTTAAAACTATTTAAACATTAAAAATGCAAAGCATTTCATTATCTCACAATTACTTTAATTATATTAAATATAGAAAATTTTTTTCTATATATATATATATAGAAAATATTAAATAATAGTTCTCTATAATTTTTCCTTAATAAAAATATTTTTATTACACATTTCATATTTCATAATGTTTTATAAAATATTATTATCAAAATATATTATTTACAATGTTTACAATTAAATTATGCAATAAGAATAATTGATTTTGCAGCAAAAATGAAAAATTACATTTTATTTTGATATATTATCAATTCTTGTACATATAATAACACATTTTTTTAATCTAAAATACTTTTTATTAAAATGTTAGATTTTAGACTAGAACATTTAATTTAATCACACAATATAAATCGAATATATGCACTATAATTTTTCATATAGACTTTCTCTAAAATGATATATAATTTTGTTAAATATATTAAAAAATTGTAAAATTGTATCTCTTCTTAATTATAAGGAAATGAATGCAATATATTACTTTTGTCATTGGGAAAATATATCCTCCTCGGAGCTGTTACGTTCTTCTTCTGAGCTGTTAAGAACTTGCTTGGACTTCACTGTATCATACATATCTACGTTTTGTAACATTAAATTGCCTTTACTAGTTGAAGGCTCAGGGCTTGTACTTTCACTAGAAGAGAAATTTATGCGTTTCTTAAAATCTTTCTTACTATTCTTTGATATAATTTCCTGATCATTGTCGTAATCCAACTTGTGTTTTCTTAGCTTAGATAATTTAGTATCATATACTTTCTTACTCTTCACATTTGAGTCATCACTTTCATCATCGGTGGTTTCATCATATGCTGATTTTGTTGTTATCCTTTTGGTATTGTTTAAAGCCTCCTGAAGCTCTCTGATCTTTTTTTTCTTTGTATTCAGAAGTAAAAGAAATTTCTTATATAGATCTTTCTCCATAGTACTCTTTTTGTTTGTCATTTCTTCTGTATCTACAATTAGCTGTGTATTGGTTTTCTTTAAGTGTTCGTTCTCATTTTTCAATGTCAGTGCTCGCTCTTGATACTCTTGATAAAGTTCTAATGACTGTTTTAAAGTATCAGATAGAATTAATATATTCGAAAGAGAATGCATTATAATTTCTCCACGAGTGAGAACATTTTGTTGTTTCCATGTAAATGTTGTTCCATATGACTCATCTTGTAGAAAGAACTGTATATCAGTGTCTTTTCCAGAGAATGCTTGTTTTGTGTTCTCCAAATATGTTTCAAAGGACTCATCTAGATGATTTAAAAAATAATGAGCATTCTCTATATGCATCTAAAATAATAAAAGCTGTCAATAAATGATAGTTGTTGACTGTCAATAGTGACATATATTTTTTTTTATAAACCTGATATCAAACTGCTTACATTCTTCAAATTTTGTCTTGTACTCTGCCTGTGTTTTCCAACAAGGACACAATGAATCATTACATCTTTATTATTTGCTGATTTTAAACAAGGATAAAATAATTCAACAATCACATTGTCTCTTTGCTGGAAAGGGCGCTGATTATGATCAACAGTATGTCACAAATGCTTTCGAAACTTGATTGTTATAAATAAGTCTGTTCGTATTGCTTGCACTTTTTGCACATAGCATTTTCGTTTTCTTTTTTTAACACCAAATATATATCTCACTTTGAGTGTAAACATTTTTGGGGATTTTAAGTAACACGAACAGACTATTGTTTTATATTCTTTGATAAATCAATTAATAAAATTTTGTTCTGATTAATTAATCAAATGCTTCAAAACATTTGTAGCGAGACTTTGACTGCACCTATAAATAAACAATAAAATAAGTAAATAATTAATTAAAGTACCTCGCCACTTAACGGCAGCGTACTCGGTCTCAACACCATTATTTTGAAAGATGTATCTTCCCATTCCGTGTATAGTGTAAAATTGCTCTTGTCCACTTGATTCACAAGCTGACTTACACTCACATTACTCATGATGTTTCTTTTTGGTATCCAGAAAAGGTGCGAGGCAATTAACGAGAAAAGTCATCAAAAACATTTGATGTGCAGTTATTTGATGAATCTTGTCAACTTATTTAGTTAAAAACTCTTATCAGAAGAAAATACATTTTAATACATAGAAAAAGAATTTTGTCGATCGGATTCGACAATTAAGTTTGTACTTTCATAATTCATAAAGATGATTCAAAATTATAATGTGCGCATTATAGGTTAATACTGTCAATACGTAATACATACATATCATAAAAATGATAGCAATGCGCATGCGCGAAGCCGCGACGCCCGCGACACTAGTAGCGTTTTCTCTTGGCTGCACCAGTGCAACACTCAGCTGAACTTTTGCACTAGTTCATCTTTCTTCCTTTTCTCTCCAGGAGAAGGGAAAAGGAAAAAAGATGAACTGATGCAATCATGGGTGCAATCACCCTACACTGCCAAAGAGTGCAGCCAAGAGAAAATTGTAGCAACTTAAAAAAACATTTTTTTATAATTTGAAAAAGATACTTATTTAAAAAATAAAAAACTGAGATTATATCACGTTTATAATTATAGTTCTGATATTTTTTAATGAATTTTTGCTATATATTGTCACATAGTACTGCGTCTCCTATGAGACACAGTAAGTACCGGCTTTTTTCATATATCAATTTTGTAGTCTCCGTTTTTGTGGTTCTTTCTTATACTATTACGTGAGATAGACAAGGACGAACAGAATCATTTGCTTTAAAATCGAAGTATCAACTATAGATATTACATATGAATATTGAAATATACATTTAAGTTTCATAACTGATGTGTTTGATTAAGAAATATATGCAATCGACAAGGACATGATAACATTATATAACTCTTCGTTGCGCCGAGAAGCATCAAGAATATATATCTGTGGAAAATCCACACACATTGCTCATGAACCTAGATTTTATCAGACTACTACAATAACATATTGTTAGGTATAAGTTGTAATAGAATGGTCATCAAATTCGGATATTTAAATTTTTAAGGTAAATTTTTAATAAACTAACTTCTCTAATCAACAATTTTTGTATTTACTTAATAATGTTTATTCTCTTTAGCTAGATATCTGTGGAAGTGTAGAAGAAAATAATTGTTATCAGCTATCACTAAGTAGTGAGTGCAAAGACAAAACCAGAAGAGAAAAGTTCTACCAGATGTACAGTCATTAAAATTGCCCTGCAAAGTCTCCTAGTTATTGTAAGTGCCTTTGCTCATCAACTTGTATTCCAGAAGTTGTAAATCATGGAAGTGTATCGACTCTTCTAATATCTTCTAACAACTGTTGTTTACAAGAACTGTTATGGTAGCAGGCTTTTTAAGGATTACTGTTTTTTTAACAGCGCCAGTTGTTAGATCTATTTCATCCAGGAAATAAATTTGACTATATCATGAGAACTTCTATTCTTGATTTCTATCAATTGTGATAATTAATGCTAACAAATCTTGTGTGTATATAATAAAAAAGAATATAGTGTGTTTGCTTGAAAAGGTGAGTTATGGATATAACATTAACTTTTTATTAAAAAATTTTAAATCTTATCTTTCATATTAATTGTGATTATATGATTTACAGGTTATATTTTGTTGAAATTCTCTAATTAAAAGTTAGAATTGCAAAGGATTAGTTTCTAAGAATTAGTTCCTAATTATAATTTATACACTTGTTCAATATATCCAGAATATATAAAATAATAAGTAGAAACATGGAATGTGTACCACTGCATAAAGCACTAGAACCGTTGGCTTGGCTGGAAGGAATGTGGAAAACGGAGAATCAAGGCAGCGGCAAATACCCAACGATTAAAGATTTTAGCTATTATGATGAGATAAACTTTACATCCTTAGGGCAACCTATGTTCAATTATACTGCCCAAAGTTTTTCCAGCTCGGATTTAAAAAAGCCAATGCATCGAGAAACAGGTTTTCTGAAAGTGAAGCCTGGAACTAATCAAGTAACTCTTATCTCAGCACATAATTTTGGTTTAACTACCATTGAATGTGGAGAAATAACAGACAAAACCATCAATTTAAACAGCACTGATATAACTAGGATAAAAGAGGCAAAGATGCCTCATGTAATACAGGTATATCCAATAGCAAATTTGGTCACTTGCAATATATTAGATTAGTGCATGCTAAAAATTACTGTACATAAAATTAGTCAAGTTAAATGTAAAAGCATATAAATTTTTTATTAAATATCAAATAACACATTATCTAACAAATATGTATTGTCAAAATTGAATATGTTATATATATATATATATAACTATATTTAGATACTTTATATAAAGCATTCTTTAATGTGCACTAATCCATTATAGTGTGAATGACCAAATTTATTATAAATTTTATCAACTTAGCATTGTAGTTGATATTCATTTAAGTGATAGCATAATTTTGAATTAAAATATGTTTCTAATTTTATGATAGGTACGCAGGGAATTTAAACTTCACGATAATTGTTTGGAATATGTGTTTTACATGGCAACATCGAGTACCCCAGTGTTGACTGAACACTTACGAGCAAAATACATGAAAGTGAACGAAAAGTAATAGAAAGACGCAAAGATAGGGTGACCAAACATTCGGTTTTTCCCAGACATATGCTATACTTTTCTTTTAAGATGCCGGCCGGCCGGTATACTTTTCAGTATGTTAGATTGTGCTCTTTTTGCCTTTTGGTACTTATTTTGAGAAAGAGCAAGATGACCGAAAGTTATTGATTCTATTACACATGAAATACACAGTAAGCTAATCATAATTAGAGATGTACCGGATCCGGTGTCATATTCTTTTCAGATATCCGGTGCATTCTTAACTATTATATATCTATGATAAAATATTTGAAAATTATTAAATATTTAAAAATAAATATAATTTCATGGGCAACGAGCCGAAATAATAATATTACGGTTGAAGAAAAAAGAAGATATAATTAAATTAATGAAAAATAAACAAATACCATAACGAACGTTTCGACACCGATTGGATCATTTTCAATATTTAACAATGATTCAATTCTTAACGGAAATTTAACATAAATTAGAATATTTAGTTTTTACAGTTGTGTTATTCGTTAGGATGCTTGCAAATTTGTAGTCAATCATCATAAACGTTGAATCTGGTTGAATCCAAATTAAGGTTGCCCATTATTTAAAATTTGTTGAGCATTCGAAAAGGTTGCAATGATTAAACCGGTGCAACAATTATTTATATCAAAATATATAAATAAAATTTGTGAAATTATATTTATTTTTATTTATTATTGTCGAGCTTTCTTTTAATGTTATTGTTAATTATTAAATATTATTATGTAAAACTGTTTTCTTGCTAATACTTTAAATATGTTTTTATCATTTATAGAATTTTTTAATATATATATTTTTTTTAGCTTAATTATATTACTTACTTTATACTACAATTTAACTTAAAATGTTCTCTTCTTTTATTCTACTTTTGAGTCTTGATATCCTATTTTTGTATTACTTTTTAATCTGGAATGTCCTAGTGTACCTAAGTTAGATCTGGTCATCCTAAAGAGCAAATTAAGTTTTAATTCTAATATACGTTTTTGATTATTAATTAATTACTGTAATTCTGTAAACGTAAATAAAATTTTAGAACGATAAAAACGCGCATGCCGAATCAATTATTTATTATCTAATAATCTACTGCGATTACATGAGCATCCATGAAATTGCTATTAAATATTATTTACCTTTTATTATGTAACAGCTCGAGATCTGTTCTTTGTGACTGCGTAATATTTGCGAATTATTATGTTTTCTGCACTTCGGATGTGTATAATTACATAAATACATAATTAAATGTAGGAGAGGAAAAGAGGAAAAATGAAAACTATAGCTGCTGAATAGAATAAATCTGTAATAATACGTGGAGCGTATAGTTTCCCGATTGCTGATTGCGATTTCTACTTGTGATACAAGCATCAAGTCCGTAATGCTACAGAACGTTGCGTGCTAGTGTATAATTTTATGTAATAAATGAGATTACGAGACGATGCGAAGGTATAAAATATTGAAAATCTCACGTTGCTATCTCAATATGAAGCGGCTTACTGTTGAAGATACGAAAAGCCAATCAAAAGCTTATTAGACTACTAGATTGCTAGCTACAACTGCCGCAAAGATGCAAATGAAAGTTTTGCAGCTGCATGAGCTGTTGCACGTGCTGGCCTGGTTGGAGGGCACATGGATAACAGATGAGCCTGCAGTGGGCATATACCCAACCATCAAGCCCTTCAATTATTACGACGAGATAAACATTACATCCACAGGTCAGCCGATGTTCAATTACATCGCACAGAGCTGGCATTCAGATTCAGGGACACCAATGCATCGAGAGACCGGCTTCTTCCAGATCTTACCAGGAACTAACAAGGTCATACTTAGTCTAATTGATAACATAGGATTGTTTACGGTCGAACAAGGTGATCTAATGGGTGATAACAGTACCATCGACTTACACAGCACCAATATATTAACGACAGACGCATCGATGCCATCTTTTCCAACTTTAACAGAGGTATGATCATATTTTCGGATATTATATTGGATGTCTTGTAATTGGAGATATGACCGCGAATAGGTAAAGATTCTATATGAACAAGTAAAAATTTAACAAAGAGAAAAAGGAAAATAAATTGTTTAATTTCTCTAAGATCAATTTTTCTAAGCACAAAGCTTTACAAAGGCTTGTCTTCAATTCTTCATTGAAACTAACAACTGTGATTGGCATATTGGTTTTTCCTGTTCTTTTTTTTATAAGAGAAGAAGAAGCCAATATATCGATCACAGAACAATCGGCTTCAGTAAGGACAAATCTTTAAAAGAGCTCTTGTTACGATGACTTAAGAATATGTCATTTGATGTACTATGATGTTTTATACTGTTACAATAAACTTTTATTTTTATTTATATATATATTTTTTACTTATTTTTAAATATAGATTCATTAACCAAATGTTATCTCCTGTTATAAGACTGTATTTTTCTTTTGTCTATTATACTTGCTCGCGTTTTGCAGAATATATTTGTTCATGAAACCTCGCAAATATCAAACATTAATAATTATATAAGTAGAAAATTGTTGATTTTTGTTAATATTTATTTTTTTTCACGACAGACACGTCGAGTGTACAAACGCAACGGCGACAACTTGGAATTCGTTTTCTACATGGCGACATCGAAAACACCTGAGTTGACGGAACATTTGCGTGCGAAGTATAGGAAGGTGGTATAAAGATCCACGAAAGATATGTGTATATATGTATGTGTGTGCTAGAACACATGAAAGCAGGAAAAAATCTCTAAGTTTCTATGAATTATCATTCTTCATTCTTTTTACATTTATTTAAATATAAAAACAATATTTTTGGAAAATATAAATGTATTCCTTGATGTAGTTAATAAACAGCAATGTACTCATAATTTATTAATGCAGCATGGTGTTGGTACACAATTATACGCCCTCTCTTATTTCGTTTTTATCAAGGTAAATCAACTAACTGGAAGGTAGGAAGTCGGGGCACACGATATCTAGGAGAAAATTTGCAACTGGCACGCGACGTGACCGCATAGAGTACTGCGCCACAGATTGCATCCTTAAGCATATCCTTTCACGCTCGATCGATGGAATTTAGTTATATTTCGTCGCTAACTACTGCAATGTGACTTTTATCGATTGTAGTACTTCAGCGTTGCAATTGACGTCGGAGTTACGTCGAGGTACCACAAATTTTAACTTGGTCCCTACTGTTTCAATCGCCTCATTATTCGTAAAATAGAATTCGAGACAAGGAATCGAAAAGTAGAAATTTTAGTGTTTAATCTAGTACTCTATTTTTTATAGTATTTAGAAAGTTTTTATGATATTTATTATATGATGCTATAATAATTAATAAATCGATAAATTTCTGTTTAACTTTAGGACCACGTAGAAGAGCAGCGTTAAGAACAGTGGAAGAATTAAACTCTAAATAACCGGCTTTCAACTTGCATTAAAATTTATTAAATTGAAATAAATGTTTAAAGTATTCTCTCTCTCTCTCTCTCTCTCTCAAACTAGATATTCAAAATTATAAAAGCCGGAAATTTATTTTGAAAAAAGATGCTTGTCAAGAAAGATATATTAATAATTAAACTACTTATTTCTTTTCACATAATCATCAAACATATAATCATTTTATTCCTTTAATTCTATATTGATACGAAGATTTGAGTTTGATGTTAACAATACAAAATTCGACTGATACAGGTCTAAAATGATAAATCATGCGGGTACCAGTCGCACACGTGGCGAAAACGCGGATCCATGCACGCGTTTCGTAACATTGTGAAAATCAAGTTAAATAGCCGCTGCTTAGTCGCACGAATTCGCTCGGCATAAAGGGAGTAGGGAACGTAACACCTGCGTGTTTACCCGCTGAAACAACCCCGACCTGCCACGGTAGACTCGACGATTCGACCGCGACAGTTGCTCGCCGCGTCGGTATGACGAAGGGTCGTTTCCTCGCTCTGAAGGCCTTGAGGACTCAAATACTGAATACCTCGCGCACACCGAGTGTTCGTTCTATTGTTGCTGCATCTGTATCGCTGTTGTGAATAATTCTGCGCGATTCGAGTGTCGTGATCCACAACACTCGAACTCTAGTTTTAATAATTTAATCTTCGTTTGATTTAAACTTATTTCATCATTTTTGAATTTAAAAGTATGCGTCGCATTTAATCATCATGTATATGAATCTTTAATTCTGTTCTTTTTTAATTAGTTCTTTTGTACTTTTCCTTCAAAAAATGTTCAATTCGTTTTAAGTAACGTACGCTTTTATGATTTAAATATTCTATCTTTTAAATGTGTTCTCCAATTATATTTCCCGCTAAAGACGAAGTAACGATGACATTACATCAATATTATAATTTCTCACTTAACAATACAAATGTAATATGACGTATGTACGTGACAAGTTATATTGTTAAGTATGAAATTATCGGTATAATTATATATTGTTGAAATAATGTTACTGTCACTTTATGTTCAGTGAGTTTTATTCATTTTAAATATTTGTTTGTGAAATTTTTCTTTTTAGAAACATCTGTTTCTTCATTTGCGTCAAAACTTTAGTATGCTTCTTATTTCTTCCTCTTTTTTTCTATTTTACAAAGTTTGCATTTCTTCTGAAGAAATTAACATAATTTCAAATTTGAAAAGTCAAACTAGAAAACTATGGGTTTCGTTTCGAGCACGATTTGCATTACTGTGGTCTTCACATCTGTTTCAGAGATGCTAAAAAATTCCTTAAATCACGATTATCGACGCCGCAAGATACTCTTGTTTTTCGAGTCGCACCGTAAGCAAACTTGAACTTCCGTCGCGTGAAGCATTATTTGAATCGATTGTGCATCGATCTCGCCTCGATGTGCGACGACCATCCCTCGACTTTTTGATCTCCGAATGGCGCGCAGCATGGCACCGCTTTACGATGGCCACGATTATTACAAGAGAATGTTTGAGCTTCAGGAGAAGCTGCGGAAGAGGCAAGTACATTTTACATCTTTCAGGATAGTTTTGCGAACACGAAAATACGATTGTCAATAATATCGTGAAATTTTCAGCGAGGAGGAGAGAATACGACTGGAGGAGCGATTCACCGTGCTCATGCGAGAGTCCCATAACAGGTGAGTGAGTTTCGAATCCGTTTGGAATCCGAGAAGCAGAATTCCCGCGATGCCGCTTTGATAGACTTTAATATGGAAGAGAGAGTGCAGATCAATGTGACACTATTCCCACGGCAGAAAAAGTCACAATAATATCGTAATAAAGTCATAGTGAATGTCCGCTTTGTCACAGGCGATACCGTTTTATAATGATATCGCTATCGTTATATCGATATCATTATAAGACTGATAAAAATTGCACCTCACTATGACATTACTATGACATACATAGATTAAGATAATAATGTGATCATATTGTGACTTTTTGATAATCATCACAATTTATCCGCGACTATTGTGAGTCTATTATGGTATCAATGTGACATTTTTACTATTGTTGATTGTAATGCATGATGCGAATTAAAAATCTAATTACACCATGATTAATGAAATTATTCTAGTGAACCGTAGTGAAGTTTGCTAGATATCTAGAAAATTAATAGTAAGTAATAAATCTTGTGGTTTAATCTAATTTATTAGATATTATTTATACATATACATATATTGTTCTATTATTTAATGCAATATAATTATTATATTTTTATTACCATTAGCATATTATTAGCGATTAAGGCAAGATGATAAAAATTGTTAAAAGATAATTAAATTTTTTAGTTCTCTCTTATTTTTGAAAGATTAACAACACATATTGCAGAGTTACTTTCAAATGTTTTAGCAGTTAAAAAATTTACAAATACCAAATCTATTTCATCTAGAATATTCTAGAAGATACAGCTAGAAATTATTAGTCAAATCGATGTCGATCGACTCGAATTATTATTTCTAGCAGGATATTTTTTGAATAATTTTTCAATTTGAGAATGTGAAATTTTGAATGAGTCGCATTCTAGCATCTCGTTTAACGCAACAATAATATAGAGAAATTATACTTGAAATACTCGATATCGATCCAGTGGCAGTCCAGTTCTACGGAATGTCACGATCAATAACAGCAGCGAGCTCAATCCCATTCCCGTCGACATATCTTCGCGCTCGGGACAACGTGAATTCTGCTCTCTCGTTGTTTACGCGTCCTGATTCGTGTCTGGCCGAGACATCCGAGCGTTCATCGATCGTGAACTTAGGATAAAAATGTTCACGTATATCATGCCTCGCGATAATGCGCGTCTCCATTTTCAAAGGAGTTGCGTTAGCTATATGTTGTCGCGAAGACCTCGGCGACCTTATGCTACCAGGTGACCTGCTCGTGAGGGAGTCACATTAACTCTTTAATCGATCGCTTAACTATTTGAGTGAACTATTTTTACGTATATCTATATTGTAATTTTTGGAAAAAAAGATGAACATGTGCGAGGTATATTTTATATTTTAACATAACGACTCTCATATACAATAAGCTATTATCTACGTAAGCTTGAAGTCTTAATTGTATGTCGTAAGAAATTGATCAATCACAGTCAAATGTGAGAAGAATAATCGGCTATGATTGGTCAATTTCTCACTTAAGAGAAAACTTAATAAGAAGCTTAGTCAAATTAGGATCATATCTTACAGGCTTTTTACAGTAAGTTATTTTAATGGCTCCTAATTTGTTAATTTTTATAATTGCAATTTACACAATACCGTATATCTATAGAATTAGTAATGTTATAAAAATAGATGAAAAAAAATGACAGGATATTCTCGAAATTTAAATTTGCTATTTGATGAATAATTTTTTAATTGCAGACACGATGTCTGCATAAATCGGTTACGCATGAGATATATACAGTATCTGGAGGAGCAACGCACAAGGGATGAAAGAAATCACAAGCTTTTGGCCGCATTGGACAGAGTTATGAACAAGCTTGCTCTGATAAGCGCGAAAAAAGACAGACTCAATGTTCTCAGAGTGAGTATTTAGCATTTTAATCATTGTATCTTTGATTATATTTTTATAAGAAAATTTGTTTTATGGTGTTATTTATTATTTGTTTGTTATAACAATGTTACATCATTATATTAAAATAAAACGATGAACTGTCGAAAAAAATAAGAATCACATTCGATACAATTCTAGTTACGTTTTTAAATTCTTTTTTAACATTAATTTATTATTGATATACAACGCAATTAACTTTTATTTAAAAAATTTAAGAAGTTTTATTTATTTATATTTATATTATATCAATCTCTATATTTTTTTTATAAATGCAAAGATAAATTTAAAATATGTAAACAAAAACTGGTTTTCTCGATTGTCATACCTACACGCGTTTCAGTATATATA